GGGCATGGGGCATGGGGCATGGGGCATGGGGGAGAGGATTGATTGTTCAGGCCGTTGAGAAATGGGAGATGATGGTGGGTTGGAAGAGTTAATTGAAATGGCTGAAACACGTGGAAGCGGTTTGGCACGCAATCTATTGTGCGCTGACGACGAGTAAGGTGCTTTGGGTGATGATGATGCTCACAACGCACACACACACACACATGCACACCAACTCACGCATACACCCACCCACCCACCCACCCACTCCGGCACATACCTTGCTGAGGTCGAGGATGTTGTTGAGGATGCCGAGCAGCGCCATGGCGCACCCACACATAGGCATACACGCACACACACATGCACATGCACCCCTCCCACAATCTCACCTTGCTGAGGTCGAGGATGTTGTTGAGGATGCCGAGCAGCGCCATGGCGCAGCGGTGGATCTGAGCGACAATGTCCAGCTGGTCCGCCGTCAGGTTGTCGTCGCACTGCAGGATGTCCATCAGCCCTATGATGCCCGCCATTGGCGTGCGCAGCTCGTGGCTGAGAGGAGTTGCGTGGGGAGGGGGGGGGAGGAATGGAGTGGAGTGTGGGAAGGACAGAGGCTGTTTGCTGCAGGATGTCCATCAGCCCTATGATGCCCGCCATTGGCGTGCGCAGCTCGTGGCTGAAGGAAGGGAGAGAGGTGCAGCGGGAGGGCGGAAGGGGGGGGGGGAGGGAGAGAGTCAGAAAGACAGAGACAGGTTGTCGTCGCACTGCAGGATGTCCATCAGCCCTATGATGCCCGCCATCGGTGTGCGCAGCTCGTGGCTGGGGGAGGCGGGAAGGGGGAGGGGGGGTGGGGGAGGGAGGGGGTGAGGACGAGGGGAAGGATGGGGGAGGGGAGGAGAGCGTAGGAGCAGCAGAGAGAGGGAGCGGGGAGGCATGCAGGGTTGGAGAAGGAGAGAAATGAAAAAGCCGTATCCCTTGGGTTGTGTGTACGTCTTCACTAAAATCTACCTTTCCTTTGGTCCTTCACTCTCCATGATCCACCCCCTTCCTACCACCTCCCATGCTCCCCTTCCCATCCCCCCTTCCCCACGCACCTCATATTGACCATAAACTGGCTCTTCTGCTCCTCACCCGCCCGTCCACACGCGCACCTCTCCCTCCTCTTGCCCTTCCGCTCCCCCCCCGCCTGCCCAGCCCCGTCCCGCCCAGGCAAGAGCGAGAGCGAGGAGGAGCGCACAGAGAGGAGGCTATGCAGGGAAGCCATGGAAGCGGAGGGTCTTGGACGCTGGCGTGTAGAAGAGGTAGAGGAGGAGGAGGAGCGTGAGCAGCCGAGGAGCGCAAGGGAGATGGGTAGCGGGAGGAGGGAGCAGAGGAGGACGGAGGAGAGGAGGAGACAGGCGAGGGCTGTGAGGGAGATAGAGAGGATGGTGATGGTGGTGGCGTGGGACAGGCCGGGGGGGGAGGAGGAGGATGAGGCAGGGGAGGAGGTGGGCGGTGGAGAGGAGGAGTTGAGCAAGTGAGAGACAGGGGATGGGGAGGAGGAAGAGGAGGAAGGTAGTGGCAGCAGCAGCACGGCAACAAGAGAGAGGCCTGAGGAGGCGTTGAAAGGGACGGCGTCTAGAGACATGACTCGGTCCTCCACCGCCCCTGCTGCTGCTGCTGCTTCCTGCCCTGCTCCCCCACCTTCCTGCCCCTGCTGCCCCTGCTCCCCCCCAACCCAGTCCTGTAACACCACTGCTGCTTCATGCACTGGCGCTACTTCCTGCCTCCTCTGCTCCTGTCCCTGCCCCTGCTCCTGCCCCCGCCTCTGCCTCTGTGCTACCCCCTGCCCTTGCTGCTGGCTACCCCATCCCCATCGCTGTGCAAGCAGGAGGGCAGTGCTGCGGACCAGGGGATCGCTGCTGCTTGCTGCCGAACCTGCTGCAGGTGCTGGTGCTGCTGCATCAGCTGGCGCAAGGGACTCTTGCTGGGAGGAGAGGCGAGATGACGCCACGAGGTAGCCGTCCTGTGATGAGCCAATGGGGGGATGAGGGAGTGAGGGATTGACGGAAATGCGGGAATGAGGGAAAGGGGAGATGAGGGACTTATGGGATGACGGAATGCGGAAACGGACCGAGGGAATGTGGCAGGCAGACGAAGAGAAAGGGCTCGAGGGCTTATCACTGGCACAGAGTCATGGACCAAACTCCCAAAACGTTACATACAGACAGTTACGGAAAAATCGTAACGTTCCGCCCTTTCGCTCCCTGTTTATCCCTTCCATCTTACAGACCCAACCTTCTCTTCTTTCCGTGCCCCATCCCTCTCTCTCACAGTACCACCCCACGCACCTGGGATAGCAGCAGCAACGCAGCGCCTGGGGGCAGGGAGAGGGAGGAGAGGAGGAGGGAGAGGTGGCGGAAGGGCAACAGCGCGGAAAGCACCGCCCAGGGCTGCGCGGACGCGGACGCGGACCCCTCAAAAGGGAGCAGAGAGGCGACGAGGAGAGAGGGGGAGGCGTTGGGCGCAAGTAACCAGACGGGGGAGGGGGTTGGCGGAACAGTGGCGCGGAGGGAGTGGGGAGCCAGCAACGGGGGTAGGGCAGTGGGAGCGGGCGGTGGGGAGGTGATGGGGAGGCCGTCGTAGGGGTTGACGGGGGAGAGGAAGGCGGATAGGGTGGTGGTGGCAGTGGTGGCGACTGATGGGGTAAGTCCGAAGAAGAGCGATGAGGCGGAGAGGAGAGGGAGAGACGGGAGAGACAAAGACGATGCGTTGGTCGAAGCGGTGGTGTTGCCAGGTGTTTCTGTGCTGCTGTCAGGCGAGTTGTCAGGTGTGTACACAGGTGAATTAGCAGGTGAGTTACCAGGTGTATTGTCAGGAGGTGCTGCTACGTCAGTGGATGGTGGGAAGAGAGGGGCCGACGCACGTGTAGGGTACGGAGGGGTATCAGAAGGGAGTGACGAGTGCGGGGAATGGGTTAGCAGTGAGTCAGCAGTCCAATTACGGTAGTAACCCACGAATTGGGTGGGTACAGAGCGGTTGTATGTCTGAAGCACCACAGCCGACAGTGATGGTGCTCCCAGAAATGCAGGATACATGTGCGGGACGACCTGCTCCGACAGGGGTTGGCATGTGGACGGTAGGGCGTGAAGTAGATGCATAAGTGGGGGGAGAGACCGAGAGAGAGGAAGTGAGAGGAAGGTGGGGAGGGTGGAAAGAGGGGAGGGGGGAGAGAGGGAGGAGGAAGGAAGAGAAAGGGGAGAATGGAATGTGAGCAGAGCGGGGGACGCGTAACAGTGAGAGCAGTGAGGCGCGGAGGTGACTCGTTGCATCGCAGTAAGCAGAATGATGGACTCACGAACTTGGTTGTATACACACACTCTAATATAAGAGAAAGAAAAGCACGGCAAGCAAGCACTATGCTGCTTGCATCAAGCGGCAGCAGGGAAGCTGCTGCAGCAGCAGCAATGGCAGCAATGCTAAGTCGGCGCGGTTACAAGACAACACGCTAGCTAGCAACCGACCATAGCCCGTGAGTCCCCCCCCCCCACCCCACCTTGCGCATGAGCCGTGCTAGCGCCCGCGCCCGGCCCCTCGTCCCCCTCGCCACAGCCTTTCCCCCCATGTCGCGCGCAGTGGGCGTTAGCAGCACCGCCATGCCGTTCAGCGCGTTCAGCGGCGGCAGAAGCGCCGCCACTGTCGCGTTCTGCAGGGAGACTAGCAGGTGCTCGCGCAAGGAGGCGTCGGGAGGGGTGGCGGCAAAGGGGGGAGCGGAGGCGGAGGCGGAGTAGGAGGAAGGGGGGGAAGCAGAGGGGGAGGAGGCGGGGGGAGAGGCGCACGGAGGCGCGGAGGCGGCGGGGGAGAGGTACCAGGCGACGAGGCCGCACGCGGTGAAGGCGGTGATGAATAGCGCGAGGAAGAGCAGCACCTGACGGGGGGGGGGGGGGGTGCGCGGATTGGGGGGGGAAAGGGGGCGCATGGGAAGGAGTGGGGGCGATTGGGAGGGGGAAAGGGGGAGGGAGGAAGGGGGAAGGGGCGGGGCGGGGGGGAGGTGGGGAAGAGGGATTCACGAGAGTCAGAATGGAAAAGTAGAGGAGAATACCATCAGGTGGCTAGTGGGAACGAGGGTAGCCCCAGCAATGGGTGACCGTTAGAGGAAGGTATGGTGACCGGTGGGGGGCATTGCGGTGGTGGGTGGGCGAATGGAGAGGGAATGGACGTGAGGGAAGCGAGTGGCGAGCGGGTCACACGGGTGGAGGGTGGACCCTGATGGCGCAACGATGAGGCACGCACGACCAATAGATTCGCGTTGTCCAACACCCGTGCGGGCCGCTCTATCTGATACCTACCCACCTACCCACCTACCTATCTGCCTACTTAATCTACCTACCTCCCAATAATTCCCACGGCTTCGGTCCTTCGCTATACTACAACGCGCCATAATGACACCAAGCGACCCACACGGCGCAACCTACCATCACGCTGACATACAGCCCCACAGGCCCTCGCATCCACCGTTTGACCCCCGTCTCCCTCCCATCACTCTCCTCTCCACTTCCCCCCCTTTCCCCCTCCTCCCCCTCCTCCTCCGCTTCCTCCGCCTCCTCGTCCATCTTTCCCCCTGCTTCCTCCAACCTCCGCCTTGCCCTCTTTCTATCGACGCCATGCGGCGGAATCTCGCGCCGACTCCGCGCATCCCCGCCGCGCCACGGCTTGCAGTGCGGCGGCAGCTGACAGCCGCCGCCTGAAGCGTTGCGGTCATCGCCAGGCAAAGCCGGCGAGAGTGCGGAGAAGAACCAGAGCCGGCGCCGATAGCGGGAGAAACTGCGGCCGAACAGCAGGCAGTGCGTATCGCAATCGCTCCTGTCGTCGTCAGTATAGGCCGGCAAACCGATCGTCCGACCGAGGCTGGACTGATCCCTGCCGTCGGATTCTGAGAGCAATCCATCGCTCCAGACATCGACGGTTGCGTATGCGTCGTCAGCTGCGGCGTCGTCTATCGTCGCCATGTCCATGACATGCGGTGACGGCGACGCGATGCTCATGTGCCCAAGACGTGCGGCTTAGGGATGACGAGATATAAGGGCCAACATGCCGACCCATAAAGTCTACAATGCACCGATGAACAACAACGACCGCAGACAATAATAGGTACTTTACAGACAATCTGCGCTTTCGCCCCTTCAGCTATACCTGTTTCGTCTAGTCTCAGTCTATGTCGAGCATACTACCTACAAGTATCGTCGATTAGGGTTTCCTTGGTCTGCCTTGATGCTGCCCTTCTCGAGATTACCAAGACCAAACTGGTTTGGGCTTAGGTTCGGGAGGTGGGTCCAGGTGGTGTTTAGGTTTGACCAGGCAATTTGGTGAACCTGTGTGCGTAGTTTTGGTTTGGTGACAGAACCTGGAGGTTTGGTGGGAGCAAATGATGGGGCGAATGAACGACAAAAACAAAGTGGTCAAGTGGCCTTCCCATGTTACTGCCTCCCTCGAATTCGCACTTGATCGTCCTCGAATTCTTTTGAGATATAAACAAGATTCTATAGTAATAACGGGTAATGGAATTCTCTAATCACGGCGTACAACATTGTTCATGGTGGTTCACCCCTTGCCTTGCCTAGTGTGGTCGATTCAAATTCCCCTGTACTCTTATTTATATTCCTTGTACTGCATGTTTTTATTATCTCAAGCATTTACATTCACTCTGCTATTGAGGTCAAGGGCCCACCACCACTAAATTAGGAGTGTGCGAACCTTCCTGAGGTGATCCTGAGGTCGATCAACTTCTGATCGCAACATGGTATGAGAGCGACTCAGGAATCCTTCGCACCGCCACCACCGAAATCTTCGGCGAACAGAAAGTGGCGTCCGGCACACGCTCACGTGTGAGAATGGCCGGAGGATCTGGTGGTCAGACGAATCTGACGGCTGAAGCGCAGACCAACCCGGCTGCGACAAGCGAAGAAACGACGACAATTCCTTCCGCCGTTCTCGCACAAGTGCTTCAGCGACTCACCAGTTTGGAGCAAGGACTCCAAACATGTCAGAATGTTGTATTTCTCTAGCCTGCAGTGGGGTACTCTATAGCGAGTACAGCCCAATCTAGGGTTTCCTATATGTACTCAACTGCTTGCTAGTGAAACTCCTCCTTTCTTCATTCTCACTTTCTACTGCTGATTCTGACATGCTATCAGAGCAGGTCGATCCCCTTGGGTCGATCCTGTGGGTGGGCCCACCACCTCACTGCTTCCGCTGCTACTGCTACTCTGTGTGTTGCACGCCCCGTGGCGTGCGACGGATTTTTCATCCCGCCGCGCGCTCGGAGCGTGCGGCGGTTTTCTGCCCGCCGTGCGCCCCGAGGCGCGCGGCGGTTTTCTGCCCGCCGTGCGCCCCGAGGCGCGCGGCGGCTTTCTGCCCCGTCACTCCGCGCGTCGCTCCTGGGAGGCGCTGCAACGGGCGACGGGGACCCGCGCGTCGCCCCCCGTCGCCCGTCGCGGCCTGCGCGACCTGCGTAGGGCCCGCGCGCGGCCCGTCCAGCCTGCGCGCGGCCCGTACGGGCTGCGCCAGGCTCGCGCGCGGCCCGTACGGGCTGCGCCAGGCCCGCGCGCGGCCCGTACGGGCAGCGCCAGGCCCGCGCGCGGCCCGTACGGACTGCGCCAGGCCAGGGCGCGCCTCGGGCCGCCCGCACGCGGTTCGTACGGGCTGCGCCAGGCCCGTGGGCGCCCTGTTTTCTCTGCCCCTGCGCTGCCCGCTGTCCCCCGTGCTTCTGACGGCGCCCCACCCCTGCTGCTGCCCGTTCTCCTGAATTAGGGTTTGGGGGTGGGGGGTATGGGGGTGCAGTTTTTGTGCGTCGTCCCCTGCTCCTCCTCCTCCTCCGTCTCCCAGTGCTGCAGCTGCCGCTGAGGGGGGTGGGTGTGTGGGAGCCGAAGGAGTGGTACTAGGGGGGTGACGTGCAAGTGGAGTTAGGAGTGAAGCAGTGGGTGTGTGGGGGGTGTGTGGGACAGTTGGAGGAGGTTGAGCGGAGGCTGCTGTCTTGTCGTCCGCAGCACCTGTAGTCCGGGGCGCACTGTCCTGGTAGCCCAGAGAGTCTGCTGCGCCTGTCGCCCGAGGGTCCGTTGCTCCTGTAGCTCGTCGTAGCCCGTGAGCCAGTTACTCCAGTAGTCCGGGGCGCACTGTCCCGGTAGCCACTGTGCCAGCAGCTCCTGTTGCCCGTGTGTCTGCAGCTTCAGCCGCCGTCTCTCATCTTCTCTCCTCTCACAGTCCCTCCTCCTCCTCACTTGCCCGCTGTGATTACCTCTAGCTTTGCTTCTTATTGTGAACTCCTGCTATACCTGCTCATTGTGCTGATTACACCCCACTTTGGCTATGGGGGTGTGTCAGAATGTTGTATTTCTCTAGCCTGCAGTGGGGTACTCTATAGCGAGTACAGCCCAATCTAGGGTTTCCTATATGTACTCAACTGCTTGCTAGTGAAACTCCTCCTTTCTTCATTCTCACTTTCTACTGCTGATTCTGACAAAACATTGCGGAATGGCGACGCGGGAACATCTTCCCAACCCTCTCAACCGGCCTCGAATGGCCACAATACCGCCCCGCACACCTTCTCTCTTGACACAAATGGCTCAACACCCAAGACTCCCTGTCCCAGTGATGAAGCAATTCTCTCTGCGCAATCAAGGTTCTTGAGCATATCAAAAATAAAGACAAGTGTGTGTTTTGACGTCAGAGACTTCTATACTTGGAGCTTCGAGCTGGAGCTGCTGCTACAAAACGCGCAGATTTATCACTATTTCGACGGGAGCTACTCGGGACCTACGGAAGAAACTGACGACGCAAAAACCAAGTACTACAACGAGTCCCTGATGGCGTACGGGGTTCTTCTGCGAAATATGTCGCCGACAGAGCAATTGAGCATTCGCTCATACAAAACCTCGCCTGCTCCAGCCCTCAACGCCTGGCGCCACCTGAATGGTGTGTATCAACCAAAGGACTCGGTGTCGTCAAGCCGCCTACTCCAGCAGCTACTGGAGACGAAGATGGCACCAGGAGAGAAGGCCAATAGTTACCTGAATCGCTGTCGGAGCTTACGCGATCAAATCGCGAAGTTGGGAAGCACGATCTCCGAGGAGATCTTCGTCAACATTGTGCTTCAAGGGCTCGGCCCAGAGTGGCGGCCCTGCAAGGCGCTTCTCCGACAGCAGGGGGTCATCTCGGAGGCCGCCCTTTGCGCCGCCCTCCTCGTCGAACAACGGGATATGGATCAGCAGCGACCAGCGCCGCGACGAGAGAGGGAACGCCTCGCCTTCTACGCCGACAACACGGAAGAGCGACGGCCGCGGCGCCTCTACTGCAAAATTTGCAGAAACTTCGGGCACCTGCAGATCGATGCAAGCATCGATCTCGCCCTCGTCAGACCAATCCGAGCAACTGGTCCGGCCGACAAGACGCGAGGAACGACACGCGTCCCGCCCAGGGGTATCAACCCCCATCGCGCAACCTGAACCTGGCAGTTCAGCAGCAGCAGCAGCCATCACAGGCTGCCCCCGTCCGCAACGTCATGGGCAACATGACATTGACGAGCGGATCTCGTCGTCCCCGTGCGCGCTCACTATCACCGGAGCCGGCGCCTCACCCAATCGGAGTGTTTTCGGACAACAATCCGTTTAGCACGCGCCACGATTACACCGACGACGACAACCAGGACTGGAACTTGCAAGTCCCGCTGCTTGAGTGCCCCCCGCTCGTACCAGACACGCGGCCGGCACCGATCGACTGGATCGCGCGCGAACAATTTCTCAAGGTCGACACACCGCACATCGTTACTCCGCGACTGGCGCTGCTCGCGCGTAACGACAACAGGCGCTACAACACGTGGTACCTGGATAGCTGCTGTGGGCAGCACATGGTGGGCTCCGAGCGTTACATATCCAACGCCGTCGCCACTCCCGCCGTCACCTATATCACCGTGGCAAACAACACGCGGCTGCGCGCAAGGCATCGTCGTGCTCAAGGCACGTGGGAGCAGAACGCACATCACACTCAATGATGTGTTGATCGTGCAGAACCTGCGTTTCAATCTCCTCTCGGCGGCGCAACTCATGGATTGCGGAGTTGTCCTCAGCACCGACCCCGAGACGCGCGACATCCTGCTTCACTTCACGATGCCAAACAAAATGCGTAAGCAGATCGGACGAGCACACGCCGAGAACGGGGTGTACGTTCTCGACTTCGATATTCCCGACTGCAACGGTGATTTGCAGGAACTCATCGACCTCGTTCCTCTGCGTTTCGAACACATGCACCACCGTGACTGGAAGCATCCTGATGGGCGCCCATGGGTACCGCATCACCCACACCCGCGCGAAACGGCGCTGCATGACCCCGACCCCGACGGCATCTGCAGAGATTGTCATACGCCCACAGCCTCGACGAGCGCGATCGCCGGCCGTGGCCTTGCCGCCATCGCCGAAGCAGAGCGGGAAGCGCCGCCTGAAGAAGGGCTGTCTCACCTGGAGCTCGAGACGGCCACGCGCATCGTTTTCGGAACGGAGGAAGCTCCTCTCCCAGGACCTGCATCACAACACCTTCGCGGAATGCTGCGCGGCGTTGGCGTCGGGACCTTCGATGCAGAAGGAAATCTGCGACCCTACACACAGGAGAAATTCCTGGAGGTCTACCCTCATCAGCGCGACCCTGCGACGAAACTTACCGTCGCACAAGAGGAGGATCTGGCGCGCCGCGAAGCGGAAGAACTTCACCGACGGGGCCTTGCAGAGTCACGCGGAACATTCGCCTGGAGCGGATGGGGCGAAGAAGAGAGCGCCTCCAATGAAGGGGGGTGGGAAGCACTGGCGGCTGGGGCACAAGCTGTCAGAATATGTTGTTTGTGTAGGCTGCAGTGGGGTACTCAATAGTGAGTACAGCCCCTTAGGGTTTGCTATTTGTATCCTGCTGCTTGCTAGTTCAATCATCCCTTCTCAATTCTGTTCCTGCACACAATCCTAGCTCGTACTTGGCGCCTCCTTTCGTAGTCCTACTGTGGCCT